GAAATATTACAGCATGAAAACAAAAAGGTCACCATGATTATCGTAAATTACTGGATTTTACATATATTATTATTTCCGCTACTTAACACTAAACAAGAAAAGAAAATTCTGCTTCGAAAAAAACAACTTTCAGAAATTACTAATACAACAATTATCATCAGATTATAATTAAAAAAGGAGAAATTATAATAAATATTGGATCAAATCAAAGCTTATTTAATCAAATACTTATTTTTTGCAGAAAAAACATAATCAACATGTCAACATCTGTTATACTAGTCAAAGTATTTGCAATATATAACATGAAATTCCATCCATGTCATGGTAACGGATTGACTGTAAAAACTAATATACTGTTTAGACAAAACACGTAGAAAAAATAAATAAATAAAACTTGAAGACAAATATTTTAAGATAATACAGTAATCACATGCTCACACTATGTATTTGAAGCCATAACATGCATATGTTGTGGTAATTAACTACATTAAGAGCAGCCAGTAGATGAAGTACTACACAGCTTTTTGAAGTAATTTTGATCAGCTGTGATCAAAAGAGCTTTGTTGTTTCGACCGATTACACTCTGTGACATATCCTCTGAACGTTAGAGTTAGTGGAGAACGAATGAAAAGGATTGACAGTGTGATATGATTATCTTTAAGAGACTGGTAATTGTCCATGATGCAGGGTGTAATCAGATACATTACTGTGGACGTGGAGAGGAAGGATCCCTAAAGGCCGGCTGTTTGTGTTGTACTTCATTACTGCAGACAAAATAAAGATTTTCTGTTTTGCGAGTTATATGTATTTTATTTTATTTTTGTCTTATATCCACATTAAATTGACTAAAGGTGTCTAAAGTATTGCACCTTGATGTTTAAAAATTGAATAAATAAAATAAAGTAAGTCTGGTGCTTTATTAATGATGAAAATCAAAAGCAAAAAAGATCTTGTTTGGCCAAAATCCAGGTTTATGCAGGCTGTTGTGGCCGAGGTTAGATCTAAGAGAATTGAATTGAATTTGTGTTTAATTTATTTAAATTACATTTGTAATTTCAATTACATTTTTAGTGGAAATGTTATGCAAGATTGCCTATGGGTTTTGGTATACATATATTTGCAGCCATTTTCTAAGGTATTCTAGGGTTACTGACGTGTTACTCAGGAACTGCAATAATAATAATAAAAAAACAATGGGTACCAAAATAGGCCTCAGTTACTCCCACAGTCATGTTTTGTACTGTGGGGGTTTATTATGAATCCATTTGTCCTGTAATTTATTGTTTACAGTCAACACGCAGTCAGAGGGAGAGAGAGTCGAGCAGATGCATTTAATATGCTAGTTTGAAAGGTCAAGTGTTGGGAGGAAGTTGTCTCACACAGAGTATGGGAGGAGTTCTCTTTGCATCTACTTACTGCATATCACACTGATTCTGATTGTTACACCCAACAGAAAATGACTGATATTTGATTTTGATTGTTCATACTGCACAGAAATCTGCCAAGATTATTTTTTGGGATACAATAACTCATGTTTTATTAAAAGTAAACAAAAAATTAGCTCATATGCATATTATAAAACAACAGGATGTACAAAAGAACCATCACTGTTTATTCAATGTCTTTTTACATACAGTATTTACATGTCTGATATTCCACTCTCCAAGTTTCTATCTCTTTAAAAACTTTGTATAAAAAAAATTCAGGTAGTCTGAAAAATCAGCCAAAGGCAGAAACAGCTGCTGAATGTGAGTAACCGTCAAGCTCTAAGGCTCCATCGCATAAGAAACCATCCATGATAGACAGAACCACATGGACAGGAGATAACTAATGCATTATTTTCACCAAACACAGACTGTTCCTGCCTCAAAGTTCATCTGAGTGAAGAACAGCAGAGACGTGATCTGTGTTCAGACAGGACGCCGCTTCAGCCTTTAAGTTAAAGTGGCAGTTAAACACTACATGTCACAGAGATGACGATGATCTACCAGACTGTTGTTGATGACACATGAAAGAGGCCGTAACTGTAAAGGTGTGCGGCTGCATCAGCATCCATGACGGGGCGCTCTCTGTGTCTCTGTGCTGCAGAGATTTAAATTGGAACTTTAGAGAGACATACGCTGCCATCAAGAGAACATCTGCTCCTAGAAACTCCATGGATTTTTAATCAGCACAGTGCTGAGGTTTACTCTGCACAAATTACTATGGTGTGACTGTAGGGGGTGTGTATGGGTGACTGGCTGGTATTTAATAAAATGATGAATCAGGAAAAAAAAGTGACCATTTGTAGAGAAAAAACTGGCAAAGATTTCGCCTACAGAAAAGTCAAAATGTATCAGTTTTCCAAGGGACAAGAGCCTACTGTGTTTTTGGTGTGTAAAAATGTGACATTTTGAATGATATTATATGTGACAAATAAATTAAACTGTCATAATTAATGTATTTTATAATCCTTTTGTGACTGTCTAAATCACAAAGTTTGGGTGTTTTTTTCTATCAAGTCCTCTGAACACAGAACGAACATTTTGCAAAGATTTAACAAGAAACGTATCAGTGAAATGTCCTTTTTGTTTTTGGTTGCAATGATGTTTCTGTTGTAGCATATGTCAATTATCAAATATTTCCTTCAAAACCTGTTGTATATGACCTGATACACGCATCCCCTTAACTTAAACACATAACATCCTAATGATATATGTTGCTCAGACACTAAACAATTATTTTTACCATCTCTTTTCTCAAACTTAACATTTAAAGCAGTGGAACTCCAGACTGTTCTTCTTTCTTTTGTCTGATTTGTCTTTTCTTAGTTTTTAATTTAGGAAGTTTTTCTTTCATGACCTCAGTTGACTTTATCAACTTTTTTTTCCAGTTTTTCAGCTTCCTTTCACTGAACTCTATTGGATTGAAACGACAAATCCCATTCTGTTTCTGATTATGGATGACAAAAAAAGAAACAACAGCTTGGTACACCTAATATAATTATACACTGAAACAAGGAATCTGGGCAAATAAAACACAGTCTTTGCACAAAAAGAAAAACGTGCCAAAAAGGTAACGCTTTTTCAAACCACAAATGTAAGTGACACAGGACGACACCTTTTAAGCTTATTTGTGAAGTTTAATGTTAAACTGAATGTCTTCCACATAGCATATATGTTTAATGGTTACAATTACAACTACAAAACAGCAAATTAAATGTTCACACAAATTCCTTTCGACTTGGCAAAAAAAGACTTATAATCCTGTTACAGTGTTTACAGAGTTAGTATCCGTTCACAATTGCACAATAGGTGTGAGAAAATGTTCAGTTGGCCAATGAATATGCATTTTTTTCAAGACAAACCTTCACAGTAAAAGTGTCAGCAGGAGAATTTGAATTAAGAAATTTACAATAAATAAATGAAAGTAAAATTTTAGTAAATTTTAAAAGTATTTGAGAGATAAATAATAATAATATGTTTACAAACAAACAATGTGTTATTTTTATTTTTTTACACAGAAGTTTTACCACCAAACACCAAATTCCATTATTCATTTAAACCAGACAAGTCTGCTTTAGTTTAATATAGTAAAACCACAGTGGAAACTCCTACAAGTTTTACTTTGTACCGTTATAGTAAAACCTAGTAATAACCTCAACACATCAGGGTTTCGAGCACAAACGCAAAATGTTAATTTCTCTTCTTTTTATAAATTTTAGCACACATCTCATATGGCAAAAGTTAAAGTTTTGTAATTATACAAATTAGAAATACCCTGTGAGTGTGTACCTTATCCAGGCAACAGTACTTTTTATGTGGTTGTATTCACTATATATATGTACATTTGCATTTCGTATATGGTCAAGATAAACACTCAGACAAATAGGTGGCATGCTAGCATGTACGAGTTAGCATTCTCTTCAAAACTACAGCTGTAGCGTTGTTTTCTTCAGCATTTGAAACTGATTTACAACTTTGAAGGTTATATCATGACAAATGTAAAAGCATGTGACCAGTCTTTGAAAAAAAAAACTGTTTAGTTTTTTCAAAGACTGCTCAGTTAAGAGTTCTCTCTTTAGTACAACATCTCAAAGGGATTCAAACCTACCACACCTACTGTACATGGAACATGGTCTGGGTTCATATCCCTGAATGACAAAACAATGTCAACCAAAATTCAAGTTTCAAAGTACAGATATGGAAAGAATAATATAATATTAAATATATTGGATGTAATACAAAGTAAGAAGTTACAAGTGGTGGGTATAGTTGATGTAAACAAGACATTAAACAAAAAATAAAAATTCAAGAAACTCCATTACTTTTAATACTGTCTTTCAATGTACATGGGATAATAACAACAACAATAATAACAATAATAATAATAGGCAGGAATCTGACACATTAGACATAATGTTAAATTAAAAGCCCTTTGTGTTCTACTTGGCTGATATTTAGGATAACATTCCCTTTTAAAAGCCAGTCCATCTCCATAAATCCCATTAGCTACTATGGGAATTGACAAAGTGTTTTTAAAGGTTCACATTTTTACATAAGCTTATCATTAACTGTCACTAGAGATGCATCATGTTTAAATAATCATACATTGTTTCAGAAATGTCACAGAAACTAAACAAAAAATGACCTTAACAAAAAGAAAGAATGACTATGAAATATCACTTTCACGATAGGAAACTCTAAAATAGAAGAAAACCAACAGTACACACAATGTACACAGTTGAGACAGTAGGCAAAGATGGTTGAAAGTAAGCATGCAATCGAACACAAAGAGAGTCAGCACAGGGGTGTGTGTGATGGGGTGAGTGTTGGAGGGGTCACAGTGCTGGTGGACGAGGACAAGCAGTGCACAATGAACCTTTTAGATTTTTGGGGGGCACAAGTTCTAAATACTTTCATTACAGCAGGGGAGCCAGTCGGAGTTATTTTAAGAGAAAGACAAAGACAAGTTAATCAGTACCACACTACCTGGAGCAGACCTAAGAGTCTGGCGGTAGGTCACACAGACTGCTCCTTAGGAAACTTCAGCGGAGCCTGAGGGCCAGCATTAGAGAAGCTGGTGTTGGAGTACATCGGCTCGTTGGACGGTTGTTGGGCGTAGGGGTGCTGGGGCAGGAAGGTAACAGGCGGGTGAACCGTGGCGGGGTGAGACTCGGGACAGTGTTCCATGTTGCAGGTGGGCTGGTAGCTCACATATTCAGCCGGGTTCAACAGCTCTTCTTGGTGCCTCCCACAGTCCTGCGTGGATTTAACGAAAGAAGAAGAAAGAAGCAGTGCTGCGAGGTCAGAAGTCTGAGGGTTCACTATATCAAGGACATTTGTCAAGCCTTTATATTACAGCGTGCAAAATGGGACAACTGCGATAAAGTCAACAAATGAGGTGATAACCTGGGGGCCTGAACATTTATGATTGAAGTTGGTGAAGTGCAGTTCAACAGCACTGTGGTTGGAAACAAAAATATACATATTAAGAACTTGTGTTACAGGCTGCCTCTTTACTAGGACACCACACTCCCTCCAAAGAACCCTGGCACAAAGTGTTTCTGACCCACAGAGAGTTTAACTGTGTGGTTCAGTGAGAAGCTTGATTGATTTTTATAGATTTCCATGCACACGCTTCTATTAGTTTCTGATATTTATATGATTTCCTTCCCTCTGTTTACCTTTACAGTAAGGAAATAAAGCCAGAACTGGCCATTTTATTTTATTACAGTCCCAGGTGTGACATTAAATGTGCCATATGTTCAAATCCGGGCATATTCTCAAACAATCAGAGCCTAATTGTGGTGATTTATGAAGGTGTGACTGAACATGAGGCTGCAGGTCAACAAGAGCCAACGGATGGAGTCACAATCCGTCTGTGTGTTATACCTGGAGGACACTTTTTTATTTTTATCAGGGATATTAAGTTAATATAAAGTGTACCCTGATATATATTTATCTGTATATTAAATCAACATCAGGCAGGGATTTAAAACCAGAAGTATCAAAGAATAGTAGTTAGTTCACTGGCGCTCAGCCTTTTTGGACCTATGACCCCATTTGGACACAACAAATTCCTGGCAACCCCCAGAGACATTTTCTTTTACTTATTTGTTTTTGAAAACAATACAGAGTAGCCATATTAGCACATTTTATTTCCTCAAATCACATGTACAGTTAAGCCAGCTTATGTTTCAGGCGACCCAAAACGACTCAAACAGGCCAAAAATAAATGGGTAAAAATGTACTTAACTTTTTTTAAATTGCTCTTCACCTCCAGCTAGACAATAACAGTTATCTTTTAAAGGGTTTTATTATATGTAATTCAATCAATGTGTTGATTTCATTATTTCTGAGTCAACATAGTAAAGTCTGCATATGTTTGACCAGACAGACAGACAGACAGACAAACTGTCTCATCGGTCTTATATCAGGTCACTGATGTCTCCACTGTAATGGAAAAAGTGTTTTTTAATGAAACAGTGAATTATGAGCCGTTAGAATCGTTAGTGCATTTCTTAATATTTCTGAATTCCTCAGAACCTGTTGTGTTTTTAATCTCCGAGCATGACATTTTTTCCCCCAACGGGACAATTACTACAATTTCTACTAAAACTAACAAAATCCTACTAAGTGCTATTGTTCAGCGGACACCTTTCCTCTGGTAAACAACCATTTATTTTTCCAACATGACGTCTCGTAACAATTACCATATTTTAAGACTTAGTATCCGTTTGAGTCTGCGAAATGCACTTGTTTTGTTTCCTGCTGCTTTCAAATTGATCAAAACAAGTGCATCCATTATTCTGCTAAAGATGCCTTACATCATGTTGTTCCCGGCATCGTTCATCTGGCATCATGACTAGAGTTCAACAACCCAAGGCTGTGGTGCAGTTTGTAATGACTGTGATGTTCTTAAATGAAGCCGTGCATGCTACGCGTTACGGTCGTCACCAATTATTGCCCGCCTTGTCTTAACTCCCAATCTGGATATGGTTGTGTTTCTAAGTCGCTGCCAATGATGTCTGTGTGTTAGCATTTGCACAAGTCATGTCTTTTGTCTCGGAGCATTTCATAATCATAAACATCCTCTCTGAAGAGATAGTTATAATTAATGGGCAAAGCTCCTTAATCTAATCATGCAATGTGTGATAAATAGAAAATGCATTCGGCAAAGCTCCTTAATCTAATCATGCAGAGCAATGTGTGATAAATAGAAAATGCATGTCTCAAATACATTTTGCAATTAGATATATATATGGCAACAGTGCTGCAGAAAATACAGAAATCTTGCAAATCAAAGTTTCATTATTAAAACATGGCTTTTGTTCCTCTTGCATTTTCTAGTTAACTTATGGCCACTTTTAGTGAGGGACGTCTGAATTAAACTGGTTCAAACTACAAGGAACTAAAGTCGATATTGTAGCAACACGGTGAAATTAAGCTGGGAGAGAGAATCACAGTTTAATTGAAATTTATTGAAGAAATCCACAAAGACTACTGTTGGCCATAGTCCACGCCAAAACAAAGAAACCAAACTCCCCAGACGGTGAACTGCCCCAACGTAGTGTCCACCTTGGCGCCAACAACAACAGCATAAAAGACTGTCGACCCTCTGGCTCTGGACCAGAAAACTTTTTCTGGCTCAAATATATACTTTTATTGGCTGCTACAGGATTGAACCATGGTGAGACATTCACTGAGCTCTGTAAATTCTGAAACTGTTTTAACAACACGTTAACTTTACATAGAAAAACATTGCTGGACTATTTACCCAGGCAATTACACTGTACAAAAACTGTCTTCCTGAAAATAAAACATCCATGGTCCCTGCAACAGTGTGTATAAACCACCTGGAGAATTAGACACAAGTCGTATTTGTGCACTCATGTTTGTAAAATAAAAAACAATTGAAATGATGAATAAATACAAATTTTACTTTTACCCACACTTGATGGACACAAATTGCTAAACTGTGCATGTGTATTAATTCCGTATTCATATAAAAAGGATGGTTGACAAAAGATCTCTAATGTGATTTTTAGATAAGACACAAATTGCTAAACCGTGCATATGTATTAATTCCGTTTATAAAAAGGATGGTTGACAAAGATCTCTAATGTGATTTTTAGATAATGAGAGTGAAGAGCGAGGGTCTCAAACTTAGGCACAAGGGCCACTTCCAGCCCATGAATCCCCCAACATCTGGCTGAAGACAACTATACAATATTGATTTGATTTTGTCCTTGAAGTAATTTTTTAGTGATTTTAAGTTCAATTCAAATTCAAATTGAATTGAATCTGACATGTGATGGTGACAGCAGCAGAGGCCCTCAGCTCATTTTAGTTTAAAACCCCTGGTGAAGATCTTGTTAGTGAAAAAGGAAAAAAAAACCAAAACAAAACATATAGTGACAATGAGAAGCATGCAAATGAAAATATAAAAAAGAAAAATACAAATGAAAATGGAACTTACGAATATTCCTCAAACATCTCTACATCTACGAAAACGATGATCCCCGTTCTGGAAATGTGAGTCGAAAGGCAACAAAAGCACAAATGGAGTGAGAAAGGAACTGAAGACTTGATTAGGAAGGATAAATGGTACGATTAGCAAAGTGAGGTTTAGCAACACAGCAGGGCTGGGTTTGTGTGAAGGTCACACAGCGGAGGTCGTGCAGGTAAAGCTGGCCTGACAGCAGTGGAAGACTAAACGAAGAGCCATAGAAAACTATTTTGATTTTCCTTGCTCATAAAGAATAAGTCTGCAAATTGAAGAATCTTCATCTATTAAAACAACAGATTTCTGGGAATGTCTCAGACAAAGAGGACAGAATTGACTCTAGTGTAAATGTTCAAAGTGCCAAATCAAAAATGTAAACGGAATAATTTTAAGAATTCTTACATGAACAGCTCTGCGAGAGAGGCATACTGTGAACTGTCATGTTTGAGTCTATTTAGAGGTAAACAGATGGTAAAGCACTATTGTCATGTTTTCATTTTAACAGCTGGTTTGGTGGTAGTTAGACCTGAATATCTGTTCCTGGTTTCTCTCCTGTCTTCCCCAAATGTCCCATGCACTCTTGGGAAATAAACACTGACTCTGATGTGCTGCAGTAAAATAATGTTTTTTGGAAGAAAAAAAAAAGATTGGAACCATGGACAAATTAAAAATGTTAAATTTTCATTACAGTGAACAGTGAATGGTTTTTTGGGTATTATTTAACTTTATTTAATTAACTAAGTTTATTTTAATTCACAACTGCGTTCATTAATGATCTAATTCTAACCTTGGGTTATTGTTATGTTGAGAAAGTGTTCTCTTTTATCTTAACTGAACAGTGGTCTGACTGAAGACCTGCTGTCTGAACGTCTGAATGTTAACACCAAAAATAGGAGAGAATTAAATATGCCAGTTTGTCAAATATATATGTAAAATTTGAACAGCCAATTAATCTCTTTACACATGTTGGAAGAATCCACATAACACATTGTACAGAAAAACACATTAAAAACAGAAGGAGGCATCAGTGCTCAACAGCCAAAGTAAACTCTAAGAACAACAACAGCAGACATCCTTGGTCCTGTTACACCTTTAAGCAGGATGTGAGTCATAAAATTGGAAACAAATCAGAAATGTGTAACTGATTCTTCTCTTATACCAGAGTGTCAGCAGACTAATTGGAAACACAGCCCGTTAGCCTGACACTTCTTATTCTTATGTTTTCCTGTTGTTTAACACTGCTGCATAACAGACGCCGGGCTTGCTGCCACAGAACATGAAGCAACATCTGCGGCCTAAAAAACTACACTCCACAGACTGGTATTTTGTAGTCAGATTGTGGCGACGTTCCATGTCATATGGGAAGAGTTTCTCCCCCCATTTTGTGAGTAATTATCGTAATTCTTTCCCATTTTTATTACCTTTGCTCATCTCAGCATTTGAAAATAACTTGCACAATGGGGTTGATGCTGCGTTCATTGTTTCATGGAAATTGACATTTTTTTTGTTTGTTTTAATCCAATACAGCTGGATTGGCACAAATTGAGATTTAGTGTCTTGAAATACACATTTTATTTTGTTACAACATTTGAGTTGAAACTATGATGCACATATTAGTTTTCAACTATGTATTTTTATTTATTTGGTTTTCATAATGGTTTTTTAAACGCATTTTATTATCAAAAGGATAATAAAGGTTATATAAATATGTATGAATATATTGATACCAAATAAGAAATCTGCTTGAATATTA